AATGATCCAGTCTGTTCAAATCCCTCTGAAGCACCTCCCTACCCTCAAGCAGATCGACACAGCCTCCCAGCTTGGTGTCGTCCGCAAATTTACTGAGGGTACATTCAATTCCCTCATCCAGGTCATTGATAAAGATGTTAAACAGAACTGGACCCAGCACTGAGCCCTGGGGAACCCCACTGGTGACCGGCCTCCAGCCGGATTTAGCCCCATTTACCACCACTCTTTGGGCCCGGCCATCCAGCCAGTTTTTAACCCAAAGGAGGGTGTGCCTATCCAGGCCAGCAGTTATCGGTTTCTCAACCAGAACACTATGAGAAACTGTATCAAAGGCTTTACTGAGGTCAAGGAAAAATTCATAAGATCCAAATGATTGGTGTTATATTCTTTATCATGGGTAGTGTATTCAGTCCTTGGAGGTGATTATGACTTTTTTAATCCTGTTCATATTGGGTGAATGCTGACTTAAGCATTTCGTAGATTAAATTAACTGTCCTAAGACACCTTAACAGTAATAATTCAATTTTTTGGCAGTTGACTGTTGTCGTCCAACTAGTTACTCTGTTACATTGTTTGGGCCAGGATTGCTTAGCATGCTTTGGATCATAAACCATATTGCTACTGTGTGAAAGTTCTGGTACTTTGCTTCAGAACTGAAGGCTAAAGGTCTCACTTCTATCTTTGCTTTGGCCTAAATGGGATCCTTCGTACGCAGTGGCACATAAAACAGAATAACCTGCCTACGCTGTTATGTTGTCTTAAAGGCAATCTCCTTCAGTGTAGGACGGTGAAAATGATTCAGAGAAAAGTTACTAACAGCAACCAGGGCTTTTCTTTGAGTTCTAACTGTTCTGTTCCTCGTCCAAAATAATTGTTAATCTTCAAATATCTGGCTTCAGATTTGAGCATCAGTATGAAATAATTCATTCTGTTTCTAATACAACAGTATATAGAACTGATCACAAAAAGGCCTTTTCCATGTCCTTATGGATTCATGTGTAATTTTACGTTTTCTGTTGAGCTGGACAAACTTGGAAATTACTTGTGCAATCTTGAGTCTACCACAACTTGAACTTTGGCTAGGAGGAGGGACTGTGTAGTACTCAGACTCATGGCACTTAATCTTCAGTGTTTAGCAGAATTGCCTATTTTCTTAAACTTAAATTCAGTAAATTTTGGACCTCTGGTAAGGGCAGAGCTTTTGGTGTGCTTGCTAGAACAACTGTTGCTGACTGAAAGCGTGTGTGTATGATGTACACATAAGCTGAGTTTCGTTGGTCTTACCTCTGACTTGAATTTCATAGGTTAATCATGTCATCAGGCCATTGCTGGAAGTCTACTTTCCTAAGGAATCTGGTGTTAATGTGATTGCAGAGCCTGGGTGTTACTATGTTTCATCTGCATTTACACTAGCAGTTAACGTCATTGCAAAGAAGAGCGTTGAGTATGATAAACTTCTTCCTTCTGAAGGTAAGGGTCGTGTTTATCTGCTTCGTGTCATGAACCAGCACAGGTAACTGCCCACTCTTAGTCAGGGTGGACTAGTTTGTCTTGGCATGTATTTAATACATTCCCCTATTACTTGCGCTGCAATCCATGTTTTGGTTTCTGATCGTGTGTTATCTGTTTCTCACGTTGCTATCTTTCTGTGGCCCCTGTTATTTCCTTACTAGGTTTGACTCCTCGATGGTTACACCTGTAGTGGGTGCTTTACAGAAGGTGTATTGAAGGTTCTGTATTAGAAGAACAGAGAAAAACATCATAGAGCGAGCAGCTTCTCTGCTAAAGTAGCGATTGGATTTATATTCTTAGCAGTGACTGTTACTGAAAGTATTAATTTTATTAAGCCTCACACTTAATGTTACAACTGATTTATAATCTGGTCTCATACAGATCACTCTGCTCATAATTCTCTCACACTTAATGTTACAACTGATTTATAATCATACAGATCACTCTGCTCATAATTCCCCCATTCCAGTATGTGTGGAACCCTCTTGTCAGGAGAAAGCAGTTGACTTAAGTTAGATTGCAAAAGGACTACTTATGACAAAAAATGCATGCAAGACAACTTCTTTTTTACTTCCAGTGGAGCAAACCAGGAACGAGGATGAACCAGTATTTACATATTACATAAATGATGGTGTTTATGGTTCTTTTGCAAGTAAATTGTCTGAGAAACTGAATACTATCCCAGAGGTTCACAAGGTGAGTCCTTCTATATTCTTCAGAGATAATCCTTAATTACCCTTATGTTTTTATATAAGTTTAACACTTCATATGTCTGTAAAATTATACATAAGGATAACTTTATAAGTAATATATATTTGAAAATGTTCTTAAAAATAAACTAAAGCCTGAATTACCTGAATCATTTCCATATAGAAATACAAGGAAGATGAGCCTCTGTTTGCCAGCAGCCTTTGGGGTCCATCCTGTGATGAGCTTGATCAAATTGTGGAAAACTGTCTTCTTCCCGAGTTGAGCGTTGGAGATTGGCTGATCTTTGATAATATGGGTTCTGGTACCTTAGGTGAACAGTCTACCTTTAACGACTATCAGAGGCCACTGATTTACTACATGATGTCTTTCAGTGACTGGTAAGAAAATTCTCTTGATAGTAGCAAGATTGCTTTCACTTCCTTCAAGAGTGGACACTTAACAGCCAAATATAATTTGTATTTGATGGCAAATACAGAAAGATGCAACTGAGCACAAGAGTGTGCCTTTAGTTTGGATATTTTACTCTTCTGTCTTGGCTTTGCTAAGACTGAACTGAGCTGTGATAAATCAAACACCGACTTTGCTTTAGGGTTGACAAAGGAAAGCAAAATACCCGATGTGGACTTTGAGTTTAGTGATTGTTGTTGCTGAGTGGTAGCCCTTTACTGCTTGACATCAGCTGTTGAGGTTTCCCAGTGCTAGTAATTCCAGCTTGTGGCCAACATCAGCACCGTGGCTGTAGGCAGGAAGGGCAATAACGCTGTGGGGTGATGGTGAGAGCTGGGTAACCTGTTTCAAGGCTGAGGTAGCCAGAGCCCTGTGCTGCTGTCCAGTGGAGGGTGGCTGCCAAGAAAGTGCCTGCCAAGGACTTGCATAGCTGAGTCTCCCTTCTGCTGAGCCTGGGCCAACCTGTCCAGGGGCAGCAGACCTCACATGCTGTATTCAAGGCTGGTTTCTGATGTGAAATTGTACGTGAAAGCACCTTATTACAACTCTCATCCCTTTCTGCTGCAGGGATGAGATACAAGATGCTGGAATTGCTTCAGACACATTGATGAAGAACTTCTTCTTTGTGCCTTCTTGCATTCAGCTGAGCCCGGAAGACCGCTTTTCCACTGCAGCTTAAACAGGCATTAACGCTTCATTTAGACCTGCAGTTGCAAGTCTGTAGTTTGTCTGGTCAACATTCCAGTGTGGAAGAAATGGAACAATCTTGAATTCAATTCATTCTCTTTGAAACTTGAAAAAATAGTAGTAGCTAATGGGGACCAGGCAAAACAAGCTACAGCTACAATTCACTGGGGAATGGGAGGGTTAGATAATGGTGTCCAAATTTAAAATCAAGTTCATTCAACCCCTGAGCGTTTAAATATGCAACAAAATGGATGACTTAGTGGAGATGGAAACCCATCACTTGGGTTCTTCAACAGTTTACATACAAGTACACAGTTTTTATACTAAGGATTCCTGTTAGAAAAGTCTTGTAAAGTTATTGTCTTTCGCCCGGATATATCAAATGTCAGTGGGAGACCAGTGTGACTTCATTAGATGTTTAGTGTATTTAGAATGTGTAAATTTGTGCTTTGAACTGTAGTTTAATAAATGTAAAATTGCATCATAGTATTTGTTGTATTTGACCCTTGATGTATCCCTTGTATGATTGCAATAAAACTTTGTGTAGATTTTACTGGTTTTCAGGCTAACTTTGGGAGGGGCTGGCTAAGCAGAAGAGGTAGCTATGAAATAGATGTATACATGATTGTTTTGGGAAGCTTTCTTTTCTCTAACCCATTATTTCAGCTTTTTATTAAACCATAAATTTTAAGCTTGATAAACCTGTTTAGAGTGAAAAATCATATAAGCTCTTAGAAGGCTAAAAGGTGATTTTTGCTGGGTTTTTGAGTATGAAAAATTAGATTCAGTTCTTAACAGGAGACAGCAAACCTGCAGTAGATACAGATGTGCACAGAGAGGTAGTCTTTTAGCTAGCATGTGTGTTATTGCCCCTGAGGCAGCATGGGGCTAGTCCAGCTCTGCAAGTTGTCACAGAACCTTTAGCTCTTTTCTTTTTAATGGCATTTATTGAAGAGTCTAACTTTCAACTTCAGCTAGTTCTGTGCAGTGCTGACTCCTGAGAGAAAAGAGCTACCTGAGTCTTCAGAAACCTCGGTGCTCTCTTGTGCTGGACTTACCTTTTCTTTGTGGATATAGTTAAAGCACACCTCTGGAAATGCATATGCCAACTGCATCAAGTAACTGAAACTGCTGAACCTGTTTAGAGGATTTCTGTACTGTTATTGGAGCCTCTTGGTTTCTTCAAAGTCTGTTCTTACTTTCTTATTTTAACTTCCCCTACCTGAAAACTGGGAAGAGGAGCAGAAGTGGGGTGTCAGGGCTTTAAAATGGTGCATTAAGTTCTGGATCCTGCAGCCAAAGGAGACTCTTTAGCTATTTAGTTGGAAGTAACATTTATACCTTTTGGTTGCAAGTGTATTTCACATGAGTGCCATCTGGTAGAGAATCTTAACTTCTGTCTCTGTAAGGCAAAGATTTCATAAAACTTGATGAACTTAACTTGAAAGTAAAGAAAATTCTCAATCTGGACTCCACTTGTCAGAACAGTTTTACAGGCCAGCTAAAAGAGGTACAAAATGTCTTATGTTTTGAAGATACAGTCTAAGAAATATTTATTACTGGAATTAAATGTGGAAGTAGGAAAGGGAGGTAAATGATAGTGGGAAAGCTGTTGTGTGATTGGGTATTTTTTTAGTTTTTTAAACCTAAAGTTCCTAGCCATCCTTACATTTCAAGAAGTGATATGCCCTTCAGTCTACTGGTTAAGGTCTTTCTCTAGACCAAACAGACTGCTGCATGGTTTTTGACTAAATACAAATTACAATTGCCTAAGATGATCTAACAAGATTCTGTTAAATTCTGCAGTCTTAAGGAGAGGGGTTTTTTATGTTTTTTACAGATCAGCTTAAAAAAAAGTCTCTACGAGTGATACAGTGGTCAGAGCAGAAATATTCTTTGTACTTGAAGACAGTTTGCCATTAAAAACAACCTGGAGTTTGAACACAGTATGTATTTCAGTTTGATTTGCTAAGTGCTACTATTTATATTGTAATTGCAACTCAGAATTTTACTCCAAGTATAAAAGCTGGATGGTTTCTGTGTAGTGCTTGGAACTAACGTAGCTCTGTCATGCTCAGTGCACGTCTGCAACTTCTCTTGTTGGCTGAGGCCGCTGCTTTTGCAGCCCTGCTCCTGTGGCTAGCTCCAGAAGCTGGAATTTCCTTGGTACTGATAGATGCAAACAGTGTTTCAGTGTATAATAGTTACTCATTGTGCATGCCAAACAGATCCCACCCGCTCTGGCCTGATGTACTTCCCCCATACAGCCCTTCAGCCTGAGGAAGATCCAAGGCTGCAACCTGAGACAATGCTGTGTTAATAGTGGTGCCGATTGTTCCTTAGGAACAGGAGAAAGCGATCCCACCTTTTCCTCTTGTGTGTCTAAGCAGCTGCGCAACTGGCTTACATTGGCTCGAAATAAAAGTTGGTGCCCTGGGTCCACTGTTGGATGTGTCACCACTCTATATGTACACTCTTCATTGCTGCTTTTTGTGGGGGCAGTGGAGTAGTCGGTTCATGTGTTTCATAGTAATCTTATACAGGTTTGAACTCTTGCTTTTTTAAAAAAAACAATAAATTTAAACCAAAAATCAAAAAAACAGAAGTAGATGCTTTAAAAAATAGAGCATGCAGTGAAAAAACGAGTTTGTAGTTCTACTTAACCTCTTGGAAAAAACTTCCTTTTAGTCCCCGACAGCTGGGTGGGTGCCACACTTGGGTCTAGTGCTTGATCTGGCCATAATTTTTATCTCCTCTTGGTTATGGGATGCATAATTCACTGCTATAAATTGCTGCTGTTTAGTGCTGTACTATGTCCCGAGAGCAATGTGCTTCAAGCACTTGCCTTGCGGGTGAGGGAAGAGCAGGGTCTGTTCCTGCCTGCCGCCGCTGCCCACGAGGAGCAGGTTTGTGTGCAGTGCTGGTGACGAGACTGCCAAGGGAAGGTGGGTGAGGATCATCTTCATCTGAGACTGTGGGGTGGTTCACTGAGACCCTGACAGACACAGGAGCCTGTTTGCTCCACAGACCTGGGAGAGGGGGTGGGAGTGGTAAGAACCCCCCTCATTAAAACCTCTATCCTGGGGATAACAAGCTTTCCCTCACTTTATATTTTAATCTCTTTGCAACTGCGTAGCCTTTAATCTGAATTAGGGGCATTAATAGGATTACCCCGACAGCTATATGGGACAAAGCTAATTGCGCTTGTCAGTGTGAGTCAGAAAAGAAGCTTTCGGGGAGGTGGCAGCAGGAGCTCATTCCCTCTGCCTTCAGTGTGACCGGCCGCTTCTGGTCATCTCTGCGCTGAGGGGCAGCAGCTGCCAGCTCCAGGTGGGTCCTTCTCCACAGGCTGTATGTTGCCATTCCCTTAAGTTCTGTTGAATATGATACTTTATTTTAATGGCCTCTGACCGAAATGCTGCAGCAGGCAGTAGTGCAGACCACAGCCTCTGCATCATGTAGTGACATGTGTCCCACTACACTGTGGCAGACACTTGGTATCAGTCAAAAATTGGAGGGAAAACTGTTTCAGGCCCAAGAATTCACAGTGTGATTTAGTGAGTATCTGCATGGTTTTAGATCTTGATTGCACATTTTGCTCAACTGCAGAGTCTCTGAACATGACTCTTCTTCACACCATTAAGAAAATCACTCAGCTATCTGTGTCACAAGTTTATTGTGCTTCTGACAGGAAATACCTGCTGTTAAAGGTGGTGACAGCAGAGAGGGGCTGCTGCTTCAGGTGTCAGGAGCAGCAATACAGCCTGAGGTCACTCCTGCGTCGGTTGCTGTGGCCGGTTAGGTGAATGCAGCGATGGAAAAGAGGTGTGCCGGGCAGCAGGGGTTTCCGTTCAGCAGAAGCGACGGACTCCAGCGCTGCGATATGACACCCTCCCAGTGAATCCCTTTCAAAAAATAAAAATACCCAGCGAGCCCTCCCGTAGGTATTGCTGCTCGG